TTGAGAATAAGATTCTTTGTTTGAGTTGTATCCATGTATTCATGCGTCTTCTTATGTGTAACCATTAAACAAACAGATGATATTCTAGAGAATGTCACATAGTTTGAAATGGGAAAATATTACACCCAAGGTAAAGATGTATATTATCATTCATGGCTCTCACTTAATCTTTCACTAGATATCTTTTGCATATCTTGGGTCAGCTTGTCAAATTGGGATTTCTTGACTCCTAAGAGGTCCAAAAGTTTTGTTTTGTCAACACGAATCTTCTGCATTCTAAGAAAAATATCAAAAAAAAGAAAATGATACAAGTTCCTGGAAACATACCAGAGATGTAAAATTATTGCACAACACATTATTTTTACCATGAGATCTGCCAAGTTCCATTTGGAAACAATTATTTTAAAATTTCTCTAGATATTTTCAGAAAAAAATCAATAAAACTTCTATAGTGTCTTGTTACTAATTGCCTTACTTACAGGGCTGTCAACTCTCCCGGATAAACTGGGAGTCTCCAGATTTTGGACCGTATCTCCCGGTCTCCAGATTAAAGTCCCAATGATCCCCGAAGCTGACCATTTCTTGTGAGACTCGACTTTCACAACCATCAAATTCCAATATTATTTTATGTTGTTTGTGTTGTTTTACATTGCTAACAAAATCAAAATGTTCCTCATAAACTGTTCTTGCAAGCAGCCGCCATTGTAATATAAGCGATAATCTGATTGGTCAGAAATAAACCAATCACATCAAATGTTATCTCGGGGGTTGACAGCCCTGTACTTATGTGTGGACCCAAGTTTCAGCACGTTTCAGTAAATTTATTATGAGGTGTCCAAAACAGTGCTTGGGCTACCTGCGTGTTTACCCTTAATAACAAAATACTCATTCTTACCTACAGACAGCAAAAAGTGCAGCTGCTGGAAAGATTGGTTTGCTGAAATCTACCTCCATCTGGTTTGAAAACTGTTCCTGATAGCTGTGCATACAATTCTATTTAGTAATTAGTCCTTAAGCCCAAATGGGCTGTTGACTCATACATGTAGACCATGAGGTCAACAGGACTAATTGTTTTTGTCTAATCCAACTACTCGGTTAAATATATAGATACAACCAAATAAATTGAATTAAAGTTAAATTTAATATTTTGGTTTTCAAAGCTGGCACTTTTTGCTACTATTGGGATATAACCTATCCCCTAGTAGTAGCTTATCCAATTACCCCAAATGTAATGTGCAGTTCCAGAAATCATCCATACCCACCCCATAGAGGAATTTGGAATTTCTGAAAAGTAGGGGAGTCAGAAAAAGAACAAAAATTAGAGTTCGTATGGAAGAAAATTGGAATTTTTGGGGTGTAGGGGGGTGTCTTAAAAAAATTCCTCTGTGAGGGGGTATGGATAATTTTTGGAACTACACAATAGACATTATGTGCATTTGGTGCAATGATTTTCCATCACAGACCATGTGTCACTCCCAAGAGAATRAGATTCTTTGAGTTGTATCCATATTCATGTGTCTCCTCATGTGCAACCATTAAAATGCACCTAACTCCTGATAAGAAGACATAACTAGCTAAAAACTAGTGTGAGCTGCGTCAGTGTTCCTAATGCAACAATGATGATGAAAAGGTAAATTATACACCGTGAAAAGATGAAAAAACTGACGTTTCGGACGCTAGTCCTTCGTTGGAGTAAAAGAGGCACTTTTACTCCGACGAAGGACTAGCGTCCAAAACGTCAGTAAGATTTTTCATCTTTTCACAGTGTATAATTTACCTTTTCATCATTACTAACTCCTGATACAATACTTTTAGTATTGGTGAAATATTTCTTCATTTGAATGTTGCATCTTTAAGTTATGACTATGTTTGTGACGGTGACGTTACTTCCTTTACCTTTGAAAAACTGATTCAGCAAGTTTTGCAGCTTCAAGTACACCAAACTGCACTGCAAGATCATGGACTGTGTAGGACTTCTCTCTTCCTAATAAACATTCTAGTGTTTTATATGCATGATGGTACGCCTTTTTGGTTGGCATCCCAGACAGACGTAGTATTGTTTTCTGTAAGATATCAGTATAAGAAATCAGACAAAGATGCAGATTATTTCCTCATAAAGTAATAAAGTATTAAAGATATTGGACTCACATTAAAATACTATAAATAAAGGTACGAGGTTTGTAATGGCAATTTTTTGGTGCAGCAATTATTTGGTGCAATATACTTAGCTCAGATTATCCAAGTGCAATAATGCCAACCTCTTTTAAAAAATTATCACCTCATAAATATCCATTCTTCAAAGAGGGGGAGGGGTGGGCTGAAGAAATCTACATAGACCATCATAGTAAAAAACAACAACTCTTTTTCTGTTCAAAGGAATAAATATTTTGAGCCAACCCATTGTTTTTTCAGCCTTCTTTGGTTAGAGAACTTAGGATTGTAAACCAAAATACTGATGACCTTCACTTTTCATATTCCCTGACCCAGTGTGAGTGTGATTTTATATACATGTACCCTGTTCCAGAGCTGAAAACCATACCCTGTTTGACGGCACCTACCCGTATAGCGAATATAGGGGAGTACCCTCCCCCCCTCTCCCCCCCCTCCCAGCAATACACAGACACCATGAAGTATGATCATTAGATATACGTATCTGATTTCTGTTTCCTATCGTTTTCGCGTTTCTATGAGGATCTAGGTAAAAATTATTCTTAAGCAATGGCTGTTAATGAGAAAGGAAAGGATTCATTAACATTTGCATTTAGGACTTAATATGTATACATATGGACAGGATCTAACACATGAATGTGCAACTAAAGGAATAGAAAATGTGTGCTTGCTGTGTGCAGTTATAAAGCACTTGGGAGACTGGCAGAGCATGAGAGAAGAGTTAGGAGAAGCACAACGCATGGCAGAGTGTTTCTCGATTGCATATTGCATTCAAACTAAGAAAAATGCATGTATTTAGATGTCATCCCATCAATCAGAGTTTTCCGGGTTTAGGCTTCCTGTGGCACAGTCACCATGAAGAAAACCATGCTTCACAAAGATTTCAAGCTTTAGAATTTTAAACATCTCTATACATGTCATACCTTATCAACTGGATTGTTACAACTGCTTGTAGCAAGTTCCAAGCAAATAACGGACTTGGCAGACCCGCTCAACCCGAGAGAACGAGTCAAACTCGATCCTTGAACTGACACAAGTCTTGAATATTCAGCAGCTTTTTTTACCACTTGTGGAGAATCAATACCCATCTTTCGAGCTAAATCTGAAAGAGCTTTACTTTCCATGATTAGGAGAGCATAAGATATTTTAAGAAAGCAAGTTTCGTCTTCCTAAGAAGTAGTTTTCGCTGACTCTTTTTTTCAGTCTGGTTCCTTTAAAATTTCGCGCTCTAACTTCTGATGAACATACGGGACTTTGATCAAGTGGTACCAYACTCACTCCTACCTACCCCAGTGTGGAAATTTTGCACTTGGATACCCAGCATGCCAAGCCACCGTAGAAAAAAAAAAAGCTCTCCCAAGGCAACCATACGATTTTAATCGGGCGGCAATCGTACAGCAGCTCATTCATTTACTTGCCACTCGTGTTGTCACTCGTGTTCACTTGTGCTCATTCAAGTACATCCGTTCGTCTAAGCTCGTACTTTCTCGTAGCAGCCTCGTAGCACGTTTCGGTTTACGATGAACTTAGCGACCTTGGCCGACACTGTACGAAGCAAGACGACGCTTGACGACGCTTGACGACGCTTGACGACGCTTGACGACGCTTGGCGACGCTTGTTTTTTTTTATCTGGAACCTTCCACAGCGTTCTGCCCGAACCCGAACGTGGTCGGGTTTTCGTTTGTTTGACGCATCAAGCCGAGATCTTGGCGACGCTTACGTAAATACCAGCTTCTAGAACCTTCTTTACTCTACTGGAGAAGATGCCATGCGGTACAATGACGTCAGTACCAGTTTCGTTCCTCCAATTGAGCTCCGTAATTAATAAAACACGGAAGATATATTTAGAACTGTATTTAAAACTATCCACTGGAAATCGAATTAATCCGAATATGAAAGATATTTCCGTGGTCTACAATCAAAATTGATTTATTTTTGGTGAAAAATGATTTTTTCTAGGTTAGCAGAATAAAAAGGTGTACCTCATCGATATCAAACAAAAAATAAATAAATAACATGAAAAATAAAAATAAAAAAACCATTGCCACAAAACTGAAAATGCTGTAGGTGCTAGTTTCCATAATTTTGTCAACAACAACGAAAAATGTATTTTCTCTTTTTTTCAGTATCAAGCACTTGATTTTATAAAAACATTTACAATAGTTTGTATCTTTAATTTAATGTACACCATAAATTCTTAAATTAAAGACTTATCTACGTTTGATAAGAAAAATCTCCACCCGTATTTTAAGTTTCTTTTTACAAAAAATGTTATCTCGTTATGGATATATTTTAAGTTATTTTATATCTATATCTTCTTGTATGCTTTTAGCGAAAAATTACTTTTCACTGAAAAATTTAATATTATAATATCATAAGGGGTTAATTGTATTGCTTGAGCTTTTGAAAAACGTTGACCGGAAAATGGTTCTCTGACATTTAATGATACGTGAACAAATCGTGATCATAATCATCGTACGAGACTTAAGAATATGTTTGGCAATTATAGCAAGCAATCAGATGAACAGATGCAATATTTAGCTAATTTAGCGAAGAATAAAGCACTCATAAGAGCAAAATAAATGACAGATATTGTTGCAAAATTAAGTAGTAATATTAAAAATCAAAAGGAAAAAAACACAAAAACAACAGCAATAGTAATTTTCTTTATTCTTAAAAACACGATGTGATTTGATTACGTAAATATCGCTATTTCTAGATTAAGTATAGTCTGTTTTACTCCTCTTGAAAAGGGTCACTGACTTCGCTACTTTTGCCACGCCTTATGGCTGAGCGCTGTCCAGTCGCGTGAAGCATTCTGGGGGATTTAATTTGAGTATATAACCTCGCGCACGGCATCTTTCTTGTYGTGCATGTGAAAATGAGTAGAAGATAAAACTGGTTTGTCGAACTCCAGCTTTTCTACTTAAAATATTCAACCATTTGGAGCCAACGTTTCAGCATGCCAATGAAGAATCTCGGTGGAGATCAGTATGTCATCCCTTCCAATGTACCAGCGTTTCTGGTTAAGCTTTGGAAACTGGTCGAGGATCATCAGTATGACATTCATATCTCATGGAACCGGGTAAAGCAAACGTTTCACCASTTAAACCTCTGTTTGGTAGTTTCTCCTGGACCTATAACTTCACAATCCGACTTATTTGTGTCTGATGTTGGGTTATATCCACGAATGAAGGGGCATTACCTCGAGTTTGCTCAAATACGAGGCTAAAGTTAATGGTGTTTTCGTTTCTTCTCAGAGTGGCTCTGGCTTTCTTGTTCACGACCAAGCGACGTTCGCGAGAGAGATTCTCCCCAAATATTTCAAGCACAATAACTTTGCAAGCTTTGTTCGTCAGCTGAACATGTGTAAGTAGATTTAGATATAAATGCGAGTTCTACTTTAGGGGATCTTTGAGTTTCTTTCCTTGTATTAACAACCGGGTGTGCATCTCCGGTGGCCAAACACATCAACATTGGAAGCCGAGTTCCCAACGAGCAAAACTTGGATCGAAAAATACCTTGCAACAATACGTTTTTCTTTTACTCTAATTTACGCTAAAGTAAAAAGCAGAATATTTTTTAGAAGCAATGGATATCGTTTTTGAACCGAGTTTGTTTTGTTTCAAAGTCTACATAGTGTGTGAAACTTGGATCACTTTTTTTAACAGCGTAGATTAAATAAGTTAATTTAAGCATAAGTCATTCAGATCTTGTTATTTCCAGCTTAAATTTGACAAGATACCTTGGATTTACTCAACTGAATTGTGATTTAGTTTTGATGTGTTTGTAAGGGGTTTTTTGATGTTGCATGATAATTACTACAAACCATCGAGTGAATTTGTTTTGGTTCGTACGCCTCGAGGCAATTTCATGCATCTTGATAAAAAATATCAAATTGTTTCTAGATTCTTATTCTTTTTTTTGAACTTGATTCTTAATCAACATCCAATCGAATTATATCGTAGAGTAAACAATCACAATAAGGTTTTTTAAGTCAATATTTGAATAACTGTGTTCCATGCTCCGTAAAATACTTTGAAGATGTCTAGATAATTGCTGCATATAACTATATAGACGGGATTGGTTTGTGCACGCGAACCTTATTTTTCGTTACGACGTGAAATATGTTGTGTATGATTCTTTTCATTTCCCATTACAAGTTTCATATCTTCGCATTTAGGTGGAATTGAGTTTCTGAGTTGAATCTGGAACAATTTCATCTTCTAAGCAATCATGTTGGAAGTGTAATAGAGAAGCTCGAAATTCAAAAGGTTTTTATAGGGTGAACTTTATTTCCGTTTTAAAATTCCAAATTTATGCATTTCCCCTTGGGTTTAGACGCTGTCATATTATGCATGCATAAACTCTTACATTACGGAACACTGCTGCATCACAATTCGTAAACACAAGCCTTTTTTGTTTCCATCAAAAAAAATCTAAAGCTCACTGTACAAAGCTTTAGAAATCATTGTCTGATGTAAAAAATACAAGCCAATGCAGAATCTTTTCTCAAAATATGGTTGCTAGGCACGTCTTTGTGTAAACAGGTTAAAAACTTTACATATTCATCTGCTTGCAAAAACTGTCTGTCTTTTACCTATGTGAATTATATACTAGCTTGAGTCTTCATCTCTTCAAATTTATACCATGAATTTCATCCTCTTTACATTTATGCCATCAATATTTAATGAGCAGTGCTACCATAGTTCCACATTCAATTCAAAGTTTTCTCAATACTGTAGCTTTTAAAGTTACCTATTGAGCATTAAGTAGTTAAAATATGTACAAATTTGTAGTATAATTCTTTTATACTTATAGTTTTTGTTACATGATTTGTGCATATTTTAAGGAAAGCATTTTGATAAACCAAAAAAGTTGATGAAAGGAGGGGCAAAACATTAGAAAACTGGACAGGAATTCAATGATGATTCTCTCCATGATCTTAGGAGAAGAATCAAAATCAAAATGTAGATCAATTTGTAGACGTATTGTGCAGGATTAAATAACTTGAGTTCTGCTCTTGAGAAAGAATTAAGGGATGAATACCATCAGTCCAATATCCATTAATCAAGCCACTTTTCATCTTGCATGTTGACAATGCACAATGACAACACATGAAACCTCTCCTGTTAGTTCATTCTAAATATCCTCAAGAGTATAGGCTAAAACTTTGGCTACCTACTGCCTTTGGATTATTAAGGGCATTTGTGTCACATAAGCTGAAGCTTGACTGGGTGGTCGGACAATTAATTTGAACAAAGCTAATACTGCCCTTACATTAGTCTTTATTATATTGGATCATGTAAAAAATTTGTGCAAACACTTCTAAATCATTGGCCTGAATTTTCTCAGCATTAGATTGACTGATTACAGGTACACTGCTTAAATCAACATTATGAAGTTGCCATGTGCATTGGAAAATAGATTATAGACTTATAAGACTCATAAACCCAGTCAATATGTTACACCCCTTAATTGACCATGTGAGAGTGAGGGTGTTCTTGTCATGTCATGTATAGCACTACTATACCAACCATTTACCATACTTTTCCCACTCATACAAACACTATATACAAGGTAAAGCTTCTTTCAGTAGCATGCTCCATTTTAATCACTCTCAAGTGTATTGTACTGTATGCTATAGTGGCTACTTTGTGCAAAACTGTTACTGCCATATTATAGGTAATGAGTGAATACATGTATAGTCAAACATGTTGGTTTTCTTGGAGTATTAAAGCAAGAAAACCCCTTGAAACACAGGAGGGAACCAACAAACTCTACTTACATACGAYGAGTCTGAGGATGGAACCTGGGTCGCATATACTGTATCCCCTCCTCCCATCCCCCAATAGTACATGTAAGGAATTCTGAGAGTCACACTTGTTAATTTTTCATCTTTTCATGACATAACTTTTAATCTACAAAATATCTGAACTCTACATTTTCTTGTGAATGTTATGCAACGTCTTTTGCAAGTTGTGCATCTAATGTGCACACTGCCATTAAATGTGCATGGTATTTTAAACCAATTCTTATCATACTGTTGCATCTCCTATACCTTAGATGTATCATGCATTTGTTCTTGTCCTTGCTGTTGTGTGATATAACCCTTTGCTACCTAGGTTATGACCTGGATATTTTGATGATTATTTTGTTCTAAATATGCATCATGCTAAACTTGATACAAGCAATTAAAGTTGATTTTTAAGAGAATATAAATGAGAAATTCTTATTTATGTAGTAATTTGTTGTTTAAGCATGTCATTTGTTATTTGATTTCCCAAGTGCTATAATAAACTTTTCTAAAATAACGTTGAGAGGCTCAAAATCTGCCAACAATAGAACAAACAAAACCAATGATATTCTTCAATGTCAAGTTTAGTACCTTTTGTTCAGATGAATATTTACTTTATCCTTATTATTCATCCAYTTCTATATTTGTAATGACCTTGGAAGTGGAATAAGAATAATATTGTTTGTTGTCCTTTGTCATAGATGGCTTTCGTAAAGTGATTGGAGCAGAGCAAGGAGGGTTACGGTCTGACAATGATGTGTGGGAGTTTCACAATCCAAACTTTCAGTGTGGGCAGCCGCAGCTTCTGGAAAACGTCAAAAGAAAGGTTGGTTTAGATAACTTAATCAGTTGTTCTAATACATTCATTGCAGATATGATACTTCAATAAAAAGTTGAAATAAAGATATAATGTTGATGTGCATTTGTGTTGGGTTAGCACATGTG